AGCTGAAACGATGACAAAACTTTTCATTCTACTCAAAACACTTCATATACACATTATAGATTTTCTTTATTCCCATCCAAAAAAATGAATAAAATTTGAAAAAAAAAAGTTATATATAGCTTTTTGCAGACTATATGTAGATTTTTTTAGAACATAGCTATAGTCAAATTTTGTCCCCATTTTAAATTTTCATTACTGTATTTTCTCTCTGTCCAGATTTTTTATGGGCCTAGAGAATCATGAAATTCAACGAACGGAGTCATTGATGATTTTCATTCTAAAAGTAACGAAAGTAAAATTCCCTTTACAAGAAAACTACTCCAAAGTGTCTTTATTTACATTTCTTTTTATCTTCATTGATTTTTCCTGGTTTTCAGATCTTGAAAAAAAAATTTTGGACTTCTACATATTGATTTGCAAACACTGTAATTTCTAAAATCTTTGAGATCTTGCTCTCAGTAGAGTTTATCTCCTGTAGATTTATTACTCTTCCCTTACTCAGGATGCTCGAAATACAATTTTTTTGTTTTTCAAACCATATTGTGAATTCTCATGGTATTTAAAAACTGTGCAGACCTGCTGCTGTAACGGCCTATGCTGCAACAAGAACTGAAAATGTCTGGGTTTACTGTCTGAGTTTTATATTCACATTTCTTCTCATTTGCACATTTAGCTGTTCCCCACACTGTACACTGCACTCTCTGTGGGCTGCAGATCAATAATTGGGTCAGCTTAGTTTTAAAGCTGCAGAATCTGACAACTAGTGTCACTTTTCAGTCCTAAGTATTTGGGAAAGTCTTAAAACACTTGGAATAAAACAAAATCTTCTTCTAAAACAAATTCAGCATCAATACAAAACTAAAAAAAATTGTTGTTCTCCAAAATAAAAAATAACCCCATATTATTTCTCAATTCAACAATATCAGCTCACACTGCACAAATGCTCACGTTACACGGCTATAACTGTAAAAGAGGGAATAAGAATGTGTCATATCCAGTTTGATTTCTATCTCTATATTCTGGGCTCATGGAGAGGAATTAATTTTAGATACACAATCCCATGGTATAAACCTTGCTTGGTATAAACCTTGCTTGATTTCTGTACCATTTCTCAACAAATAGAAATACTAACAATAACTTCCACACCAGTGATCCTAACAACCATGAACACAGCACCCGAAGCACATTCAATTTTGTATGGATTCTCCAATAAGATTCTTAGCTAATATGAGATGGAAAAATAACCTACCAACAATGGGAATTCCTAAATATTCTCTAAAATTATTTTAAATTTTCTGGTTACAATCTTTTTCAGAGGCAATATAAAAGAATTTCAGTTTGGCTGTAATTCTATTTAATGTTGTCTGGAATTCTAGTGTATGGCTGATTTTATGGTAAATTTTAGAGAAAATGAGGTAATTTTAAAAATTCACTTTGAAAGTTGAACATAATAAGTAAAATAATGAAAATATTCTTTACCCCACATTTCACTTAAGAAAAGCTTAAAATATACTCATTGGATCAGGTTATGAAAATCTGAAATATAATTAGCTGAAAGAGCTAGTAAGTCACAATCCTATGTTCTATATTAGTTCCAGTTTCTAAGTAGATATCTGTCAAAAACACAAAGGAGAAAGTATGGGAATGATTCTTTATCATTAGGAAGTTAATGGAATGTATGGATCAGAGGACTGGGAAAGAGAAGGTGGACAGCTGACTTAGATCAGTCTGTACCACAACACATTGCCCACTCAAAGATATTGAGAGATAAATATATGTAGAAACTAAGCTACTGTCTCTGAAAGCTGGTTCCTAAAAAAACCAGCATATGGGGCTCTGTGGGAAGCTTGCACTTTGCTACTGGCAATCTGTAAATACAACTTCACTCTTCAGGACTGACAGTCTGCTCTTCTTCAGGAACACTGCAATCCAGTGATATTAAAAAGAGAATAGAAGTGTAGGCGGTTCTTTTAAACTACCTTTAGAAGAGCAACGTTTAAGTATTGTCTTCAAATATATGTGTTTATCACTACTCAGCAATCATAAAGATGAAAAAGCTTAGATGTGCAATGTGTATTTATACAAACATAAAACAACCTTGTAATTCAAAATATCTCTCCTGTCATTTCTCACACTAACAATTTTTGAGGGTATGGGATAAAGTCTTTCATATTGTACTCATTAATTTTATAGAGGCATTGCAGAAAAGAACAAAAGGTAGGAGGACTGAACTCTTCCGATTTTGCAGCCCCAAAAATTGAAATCAGCCTGCTTAATAACAGCCCAGTACATGTTCTAAGAAGTGCTTTGAAAAACATTGGCAAACATGCTAGACACGCCTTGTTGTAGAGATTTTTTTTCACGTTGTCATAATGTGCTGCTGGATAACATCTTCTGTTTCATCATATACAAGAATGTTATTGAAAGATACAAAAACACCTTCAGATACAAGAAACTAATATATTAAGTTCCACTTCATACTCTTTTGACACCTCAAAAAAAATGTAAAAACCCTAGACTTCTCTGCATTATTGATACAGAATAAATATTTTACTTTGTGAAGGCAAACACTTTTAAGAGGTGCTGTCTGCCCCTTCACCAGTCCCTTGGTGATGACATTTAGATTGGGAAGAGCATTTTTGGAGGCCATCTGGTGCAATGCCTGTTTCAGGCTTGGCCAACTTACACTGCATTGTTTACAGCCTTGTCCAATTGAGTACTGGATCTCTCAGTAGGATATTGCATGACCTTTTTAGACACCAAGAAGCACTTTTATTTCCATTTCAGAGGTGTGACAGCAATAAAAGAAAAATTGTATTTTCCCACTGCTAAATGGATTCTGCTGCCATAGCTGAGCTCTGATCAGATGCTAAATTTCCAATTGTATACCTTTTCAGATCCCAGACAGCAAGAATTATAACTCCAGGATACTTTGTTCTGTATATACATTTAAAACTATCTGTTTAAACTGAAAATTTTTTATGATACACAAGGAATCAGGACATGAATATATTCCCAGGCCACTAGAGAAAATCCTTTCTTATCGGGTCCCTATCCCCATAGAAAAGGAAATAGGATAATTTAGTGTAGGAACATGTGAATTTTCCAGCAATAATAGTGAACATCTGAAATTGCTTACTTCATTTAAGTTTTTAGAACCTGAGGCTGAAAAGCAAGTGCTCTGCGAACAGCCAGGCTAAACCATCTTCATTGAAAAGCAGGATTTCTTTACCAGATCTTAGTATTTCACCAAACTAGAAGTTTTGATAAGTCCTTTCCTCTATATTTACAGACAAGCATGTAAAGTTGTTCAGTTGAGCACATTATTAGTACTAGTATAAGTATTTATTAGCTATTTTTTATTACTTATTAGTACATAGTAGTATTACTAGATAAAAAAACCTGAATGTCTTTCAAATTTTGAGTCAGTATCATCCAACAGATCTTTACTCAAACATTACTAAATATGTTAAAAAATAAAACATAAATTCATTCTTAATGGCAGTTATTTTTTGCACAGGCAGAAATTCTGATAGACAAACAGGGTTTGTTTGCAGGACTTTTGCAGGGTTTGTTTGCAGGGTTTGTTTAAATATTTCCTGAAATATTTCTGAATATTTCCTGAATATTTCCAGAATTTCACTAACTTCACATACAAAGAGTCCAACCAGTCTGCAAAAATAGTTGTAGATGGAAACTGAACTTCTTAAGATGTATTAAAAGATGGCGTCAACCATATAAGAAGTATAATTAAAAATCTTTAGTTAAATAACAGTCATGGCATATGAGTATATTGAAGAGGATTGAATTGCAATAGAACTCATTACCTTTTAACTATCACTTCTTTCCCCTTTTTGTTGACAAGTATAATCTTACAACTTCAACACTATGCAGTGTATAGTGTGTCTATCTCAGAATATTATGATATGGAGCATTTTAATCCTTCTCACCATCAAGTGCACATAAGCAAAACAAACTGCTTGCAATACTTGTGTACCATGGGTTATCTAATAAAAACTCTACATAGAACACATGAAATGACTTCATGACTTCACACCTCAGTTTCTGTGAGTTTATGTGAAACATGCACACACACTCACATACAATTGGCTCAAAGAAACTCCAAGTAAATCTTAGAAATTGGATTTCAGTTGTTGAAGTTCCTTTGTGTTGTTGGGGCCGTTTTTGTTTGGGGGATTTTGTTTTGTTGAGTTTTTGTGGTGGTCGTGTCTTTTGGGTTGTGGGGGTTTTATTAATTTGGTTGTTTCATTTGATTTGTTGGAGTTTTTTAATATGACTGCCAACTGGTATTGTATAAAGTTTATTCAGTGAAGAAGAGCTTTAAATCACTGACAGTATTGAACAGTTAAAGTGGAGAAACCATGAAGTATTGAAGAACCAGATTTTTTCCCCTTTACTGTCATGTTCTTATGTATATATTTTTAATGCCACATTTTATATTCTTTCTTTTCAAAACATCTACTGATAACTACGATGGATCGAGTATAACAAACTCTACAAAGTAGAATTTTTAGAGAAATTCCATTTGTGAATCTAAGCACATAAAATAGTATCAAAGCAAGGCAACAGGCCATGGCATTAATTTATCTTCATACGATGTTATATACAGGTTACTTTAAGAAGTATGAGCTAAAGAGAGAGGTTTTGCAAATCCACTTTTGCTTAAACAATGAAATTATGAACATAATACAAAAGAAAGAGCTTCATGATAAAAAGAGCACATTGCAAAAACCAAGATAATTTACTCGAGCTGAGGATCTGAACTGAGTTGTCTCATAAGAAAAAAATAGTGTAATGCACAGTGGTTGATACCCGTTGTAGCATGTCAAACTCTCATCAGTAACCACAAATTATATAATTCATAACAGCTACAAAACAACATAAAAATTTGGACAGCTTTCCATTTCCAAGAATTTAATAGATTTTACTATTGATTAATTCAAATGAACTATACACAGTGTGTAAAACTAATAACCTACTTTGTAACCTCCGTGTGGGACTCTCGCCATGGAGTTGTCTGCGCGGCAAATATGGTGAGGGATGGGGAAGTGGCAATGAAGAGACATCATGTGTTTGAAGTTTGTACCAGTGAGGTTCATCATCTAGTAATGCTGTCTCTAACTCAATAAGAATCTAAAAAAGAAAGAGTGGTTAAAAGTAGGAAAGCATTGCGTCACAGATTTTAAAATAGACATAGATTTTATTCTATTATTCTCTTATTGCTAAGGACTTTGTCTGGAGTTATATAAAAACCTTACTATAATATGAAAGAATATCTTGTGCATTTTAAAATACTAAATATACAGAAAAGCCTTTCACAAAACTCTTATTACCTTATGAGAGCAATTATAGCATTCAAATAAGTTAATGAGTAACCTTCCAAAGTGCTAGTAAAATACAACTATGTATAATATGGATTTAAATGAACAATTACAAATTGAGAAACCACATTCATGCTGTTACTAAAACAGAAAAAACAGAAAAAAAATCTCATATTAGGATTATGTGATATGTGTGAGATCGCTAGTTACTACTAAGTGAAAGAAAACATAAAACTATTAAATCAGCCATGCTTTCCACAGATAGTAATTCTTTCGAAAACACTGTATCTCTACATGAATATGTGAGCAACTGTATTTCTATAGCAACTACCAATACTTGTATACCTCTCCTAAAAATTCACTTTCTTCCTCTCGAACTCGTGCTTGGTCCCAGAGAGTGATTTCTAACATTCGTTCTCTAAACTCTCTCCGATGAACTGGAGAATAAATAAATGTCTGATTCCACTTAGGTTCCAATGTTTTCTTTACTGTTTTTGTTCTTCTTTTATTTTTATCACTGAAAAAAACAGTTAAATATTAAATATGTTCAAAACACTATTAAACTGCAATTAGTATATAACGGAAAATAGGAAATCTTAAATCAGCAGTTCAGCTTATAGGATCATGGGTACTAAAATCTACAGCAGGAATTTTCCTTTATTATAAAAGTCAGTGCATATGTTGAGGATAATTCATAAGCTCCTATTAAAAAATAAAGTTAGGTGATTTCAAATTTATGGGTCAATTCCAATTTTAATATGTCCCCCAAAAACCACAAGTGTTTTAATATGATTTTGGGTGTATTTTCTTTTATTTTGGAAGTAGCATTTCCTAAAGCAAAATGTACTTCCATAAATGAAATTTCCACAAGGCACAGCCTGACAGTAGAACACCTCCACAGACGACACTAGGCATAGCAAACTCCTGCATTTCAGACAAATGAGCCAGCTGCTTCACTCGAGCTCCAGTCCTACAGCGCCTCACTCCAGCTGCAGAGCAGGGAGGAGCAGCAGGCTCACACGAAGGAGTGGTCAGGGAGCTGGGGGACAGTGCAGGGTTTTCCTCACTAAGGGCTCCTTATCCACCTGGGAAACCAGAACCTCCAAAAATGTGTTACATGTTCCTTTCCAGCGACACTGGAACAAACTGCTCTCAAAACAGCTTTCCAAATTCTTTGGTCACTCCAATGCATCACCCAGGCTGAAGGTGGACCTGCACTACCAGGTGAGTTCTCCAGGCAAGGCTGTCCTGGCAGCCTTGGCTTGGCTCCAGGGTGCTGTTGAAAGCAATGCAATGTCTTTTGCAGAACATTTCTACTTGAAATAATTAATATTTTCTGAGTGAAACAATTTTCACTGGAAAACACCCACACTCCTCCTACTGAGAATACTGACAAGAGTCCTCATAACAATGCTTATTTTAAACCTGCTGATTGCTGCATAATGCAGCTGCCATACTAATTTATGAGAATTTTTTAATAGGCAATGCAGATACAGTCCATTTGTTATTGTATATTTGCAATTGTAATAAAGTCATTGTATTTCTAAACTGTTACTTGAAAGTTGAATCAAAAACTAACCTAAGAAAAAATATTTGTAGGCACACTGTTTAAAACACGTAAATTATTTCTAGCATACTCAAGATTTTTTTATCCTTGTGAACTGAAATAAGTTACATCGTACAACATTTTTCCATGAACTTTCTTTAATCGAAGAGAATTTAGCATCTTCATCTAATTAAATGCTTGACTCTACTTAAGTGTATTTTACCTCTAGCATGTTTCTTTCTACTACACACGAAATATACTGTTGTTTACTTAGTTTTTAAGTCTAAGGAAAGAAAAATGAATTTCCACATCAGAAAAAAACCCACAATTCTATAAGATACATTGCTGATCATAAACATAAAAAACAACTAAAGAAAAGTGCTGAATACTTCCCATAAGTGGGAAAAAAACATTCTGGATTAATAAAATTTAATGTCAATATATTTTTTAGTTATTACAATTTACATTGTAAAACACCGTGAACACACTTTTTAAATCCAATTATTTATTCATTACTCTTGAAAAAGAAGGTAAGATAATTGAAGGAGATCTGATTCTCAGTTTAGCACAGCTTCAGCAGCTACAAACACACTACAGCACTTTGAATAAACTAGGGATCTAAACCAACAATTCAAATATTGGTGAGCACAAGAAAATCTATCCAAAACCTTTTAATCATCAATAACACAGCAAATTAGGGAGTCACAGAAAATTTGCATGTCAACATATGGTATACAATGAAAACAGGAAAGCAATGTCTTCCAAAATACTAAATAGCTTCAATTCCTGCTGAAGTTAAATGGTACTGGAGACAGCTAGCATCTTCTCAGTTTAGCTTTTTGGAAAAGCAAAGGAAGTAAAAATACAAGTTACATCCTATTCTACAGATTCAGCAATCCATTGATCTATTATTTTAAGTGACATTAAATCTTTGAATTATTTGGTAGGTACATTATAAAATAAAGGTAAACATGTTCCCCTACTGACACAATCTGGGGAAATATCAATTTAAAAAATCAGCTGGAGAACACATGATCTCTTCTGCTGTTCTTCCCAACATCTAAATTGAAATGCAGAATATCATGGACTAAGAAGCAAAGGAGCTTTTCAGGAATAGGATTCCTACTATTCCTACTAGTGCATATATGATATCATCCGGATTAACATGAGTTCTGTGCTTTAGGGGAAGTTTTCAAAGTGCAGATGGGAACTCGCAGCTGAGTCCCCTTCAGCCACAACTCACTTATCCTGTGATAAGAAATCTGTGGGTTTCAGATGCCAAACCTGTTACTGCTTTATTGTATAAAGGTGGGGCAAACCAAACTGCTGGACTCATCAGCCAAGATATTTATGAACCCAACTGTGCAGCATTTTCTTTGCTCTAGAGAAGAATAACTGGCATAGGAAATAAATTCATTATAAAACACTAATAACATTATTTGCAAATAACTTATCCCCATGCAAATACATGTTTACCTTTCCTTTTCTATTCAGTATTTAATAATATAACCAGGGAAAGCAAGTTTGTGCTTAGTGTTCAAAGACACCTTGCTATTACACAGCATGCTGAACCCAAGAACTCAACACTGTAAGCTTTTTTCCTTGTAAATATGACTGATAAACTCAGCTGTTCATGTCATCTGAGTACCAGACAAATTCTTATTCAAATATCCCTTGTCTTTGCGTTCACCCTACCTTCTGTCTGGAAGAAAGTAAATTTTAACATAAGGATTCCTTGGCCTCCCATCTTCCCTTGAAGGAAGATCCTTTGCTCCCAGTATGGTCACTATTAACTGATGACCAACCTTGTCATACCACAGTTTTATCTGTAGGAAGAAAATATTAATTAGTGAATTCATTTCTACAATGAAGCTGTATATTAATCCTTAAAAACAATTTGCTCATGAGCTTCTATTTATATTGGTTATTTTAACAGAAAATATTATATTCTACTTTTCATTTATAACAAAGAATAAAAATAAGTTAATCTTGTAATAGCTCAGCATATACCAGGAGTTACTCCTTTTTTAAAACCCTGTACTAGAAGTACCTTATTTCACACTAATTGTTTTTCACATGGTGCTCTGATTAGGATTATTCTCCCTTATATTGTATTACTTGCATTACTAATGTATGGTATTAATATATATACATTTCTGAGGAGTTTATGCACAATGAACAAATTTTTCATCTGCTGTTGTGCTAAAGAGACTATGGGATATACCCATAAATATGTCATATCACTTAGTATTTTTCAACATATATACACTTATTCTGAAATCATACTTAAACATACTCCTTAAATACTAAGAGAGGCTCAGTAGTCCAACCTTCTTCATAGTTCAACTCAGTAACAAGGTAAAAACCACTATTATTCATTTGTAGAAATTGTTATTAACCAGTCTAAGGCTTGATTTTCTATCCTTTTTCACTACAGTTATTACAAGCTGCTATTTAGCTATTTCAGTTTGAATTCAGACTGCAAATACATCAGAGCAGTCACTGCAGAAGAGGGAAATGGTGCAGTTAGGGCAAAACAAAGCCTTGCAAACAGCCAGGGAGCCTTTACATGGTGGTAGCACTGCAGTATCACTAACTACAGCTTACTAAGGAGGCTCTCTTCATGAGGACTTTGCCTGAGACAGGACAAACTAGGACATTTAAAGAAAACAGTGACCCTGCCTGAACTTAAGGGAATCAGAGAGGATAAAGCCCAGCTGCACACTTAACCGGGCAATACACCTTTAGGCATGAATATGCCCTTAGCTAAGGCAGACATAAACAGGGAAATGTGCACTTTCTGTGGAAACCACCTCACGCAATTTCAGAGACAATGTTTTCATCTGCTATCACAGCTCCCCATCTTCAACATTTCAGTCTCTTAAAGAAAGGTCTTGATGTAATTCTCAAGACTTTTAACCCATAAAGAAGAGGCTAATTTAGCTCTCTGCCATTTCTAATACTTCACTAAGTGAGATTACACTAAGACACGCCAACTCAATTATGGGTGGCAGTGTACTTCTTCATCCACTGCTTCAGACCTTGCAATTCCTGTAGCCACCAACCATTTGAATGGTTATTAAAAATGGGATATTTGTCCTCTATTACCCTGTCATTGGCCCTGCTACAAACTTTATAGGTTAGGTTTATAGTTAAAGGGCCCTGTAGTTACTCCTCTGTGTGTGAATTTTAGATGTTGTTCCTACATTCTTTCAAGCCAGGGGCTTTGACAGTATTTTTTTTTAGACTGAGAATTATCTGAAATTCTAGCTATCCCCATCCAGCTCTAGATCAAAAGCAGAAAGCTTTGTACTAACAGTACAGTTTTAATGACCTCTGAAGTGCAAGCCAACTTAAATGTTCTTTGACACTAAATGTATCCACCCACTGGCTTCCACAGGACTCCTGAAGCAAAACACAGACTTGGCTAGTCCCACATCTCAAGGGGACTAGCACTGAAGACAATCTTCTGTGTTTGCTTTTTGGGGAAAATTTGCTTCCTTAAGGAGAATGAAATATATTTGTGATACAGGCACTATGACAAAATGTGACTGATAGATGTGAAATCATCTAGATATAGGTGCCAAAAATACAACCAGAATTATGTGTTCATATGCAAGCTAAATGTTGCTTCACTATATTTGTTTCAGACCAAATTTTACATGAAAACTTCAGTCAAAATATTTAGAGAATTACTTAAGCAGAAACTGAAATCATCTGACACCACTTCATTGAGATGCTTTAATAACTGTAGTTTGGAACAAGAGCTCAAAATTTGCATTGACTTATACCTTCTAATTTTCTCTTGATATTCTGAAAAAAAAAAAAACCTGAAAACTTGAACTTAATGAGCAAATTTTCCCTGTAATGCCCTTTAATTTGCCTTGTCAGGAAAAGTCAGGAGTCATAATTAAGACCATGAAGCTCTCTCCTGTAGTCACACTGCTAGCACTCCAATACACAGCACAGGTACTTGTAACCCAAGCAGTCATTTGACTAGGGTGATGATCAAGGAGAAGAAAGGAAGAAACTGTGAGAGAATGGTCAAAGAAGCCCATAGAGGAGAGAATGGGATTGCATTCTTATGGGATTAGAAGAAGGAGGAAGGGAGAAATAAAAAACTGCTTTATAATTACAGTAAAATAGACAGGATACTTGTTGGTGAAACATGGGAAGAATGGAATCACTAATGTCAGGGACCAGAGATTAACAGAAGGGCAAAATTAGAATGAATGAGAGAAATGTTATGAGGTGACAAAAGAACTAACCATGCTAACTGGCACAAAATATGTTGAAAGAGAGACTGGGATGAACAAAAATCTAACAAGATTTTTTACACACACACACACGCACACACACACTTTTATAAGCTTAGAACATCTAAGAAACTTCAACAAAGCAATCCTGATCTAAATGAAGGAAAGGGAAATCTAACAACACATAAGATACAATACATAAAAAGTTATGCTGGCTGATGCTAATGTGGAGACTAACACCTGTACAAAACCTTCTCGAATGGGACTTTGTCTGCCTAGATTACTTAGGATGTAGGCACTTAAGATTCACTTAGAAAGTGGTGCAGCCTGAATACTTTCAGAATTTCTTCCCATTTTGCATTAAAGTCTCAGAGACTAATTAGCCACACACATGTTCATACACTTTCCTTCCCTGGGCTCCTTCACCAGCCAGATATGCACCTAATGCTTTATTAAGCTTCTGCTGTGACCTACATTCAGGCAAGCAGGCATCTAAATTCAGTGCAGCTTGATACCGAGATGCATTGAGATGTTCTGTTATTCACAGAGGGGTGCATCTGCTGCACTCCTTGAGACAGGCTGCCACATAGTGCAGGAAACAGGAATTCTGGAATCAGATGATTGGAGGCAATAGAGATGTGGATCTGACCCCAGTTTCATTCCTTCTGGTTTTTAACCAGTAGTGGTCTATACAAGAGCAATAGTCATTTAGGGTATCAGGTCTGGAACCTGCTACGCTAAACTTAAGCATGTTTTGATAACACCACACTTCTATTCCCAGGCAAAGAGTATCTCAGGTTGAGATGAGACTTCGTACTCCAGAGAAGTATGGGATGTGGAATAGCTTGATGATAAAGGCACTATTTTGATACACAGATTCAACCTCTTCAGTTTAAACAGTATTTAAATAGCACATGTCCTGTTTCTGGAATAAGCTTCCTACACAGACAACAGCATATAAAAGCTGACTGCTGGTGTTGCATTCTGAGAAGTGAGGATGCAGGGATCTGGTATATCTAGGTAGCATTCCTGTTTCATAGAATCACAGAGTGGGTAAAGTTGGTCCTCTGCAGCCTCAGTAGAAGGTGCCTCCCCTGGAGAATCGACTCACCCTCTAGAGCAGCCTTAGTTTGAAATAGTTCATGGGCTTAGGTGTCTTTTATTTGGGTTGATCATTCACTGCGTAGTGAAGTAATTAGATCTTTCCTTCAACTATACAAGTGAAAGCTCTTCCTCAAGGCATCTCAAACTTATTTGAAGTTAGTATAAGTTATATAAATTAAGGACATAAATTCTGTTTACCAGATTTCATTTTTTCTATTAGATCTCATGTTCAGTTAAAATTTTAGAGCACTGACTGAGGTCAGAGTGTAGAAAAGAAGTAATCATGTATAAGAAACCCTACTCTAATACATATGCATAAGGGAATCAGTTAAGACCTAGATGATATTGTTGTTGCACTTCCTATACTCCTGTCTCATGAATGTTTGAGTGCTTGCTCAACTATGCAATTCTAATGTCGTTTTATGTACAACACACACAGGCAAAACATATCTTCAGTCATACCTTAGATTTAGAAACAGAGAATATTTGAAGATTTAAATCCTATGCTACAGTTTTTTCTTTGTTATATAAGGGTTACTTCACGAATCTCATGGAAAAGAGCAAAAACTTGTGCCACTGGGAGAGACCATCTGCCCTACAGCTGATTTTTACCACTACAACCTACTCAAACATCACTGGCTTTTAGAGACAGCTGGCCAGACTTTTTTTTTCTTCTGTTGCTCATTATGATTTTTCATGTAACCTACATAGATGCTTATTGTGTTTATTATTATTTTAAAATTATATAGTACTTTTCTTTCTCACATTATTCTGAAACAAAAGATATACCAGTAGGATCTGTTGTTTGAAAAAAAAAGTCTCAGATTATTTTTAAAAATACTTGCAGTAATAATTTTCTTGCACTTAAGTTTATATAGATGCTGAAACTGCCCCTGAGGTGGTGATGTCTTTGGCATAGCTGAGGCCAGTTTTGAATGTTGTTAAACATACCTCTAAAGAATCCTGAGTACTGAGGATTGCTAAATTAAACTACTATTGCTTTCTGCTTCAGCTGCTGTCTGATATGCTTGAACAACTACAAGAAAATGCTGTCAAATGGAAAAGCTTGTACAATATAAAGGCCAGAAAATTACAGTATTTAGGCTGCTCTAATCTATATTTCTTTTTAAAATCTCTTTTTCAGTGGTTTTACCTTGTACATATTTTTATACATGATCTAACATATTGATGTTCTGTATTAAAGCCAAAAGGATGATTGAAATTTTTGAAGTTAGAAAAAACCCAGAGGCAACTCTGGCTCAAAAGAATGCTTTGCCAAGTAAACAAGAGATAGTGCATAGAAAACACAATTTTAAGAAGAGATTTTTCACTGCAAAGATTCATAAAACATCACTCTGCAAGTTAGAAAATTATTGCTATGCTAAACTGAATCTAAAATTTCTGGAAATAAAGATACACTTTTACAGGTACTGTAAAATTAGTAAAAGCTCAGAGGGCTGTTGATAGGCAAGAAACGGAGTGTTTTTCTCCCCAATAAAATAATGATGATTCTATGAAATCATCCAGTGAGCTAGAAGAGGAATGGACTGACATGGAGGGAAGTGTGGAAGAGGAGCTTTTGCCAGAGAGGATCAGTTTCAGACTAACAAGTAAAGAAGATGCAAGGAAGAATAAAGATATGCATTTCCTATTGAGAGCAATGAAACAAATAAGTATAAACAGAATGTTTGGAGATTCTCATTCTTTTATGGAGTTCTACAGACACAGCTATACCACAGCCCACAATGAAATGTATACTTCCTGACAACCATAAACAGCAGCTCAGAGCTCTGATTTAGTGAATTTGTCATGCCAAAAAAGTAACCAGAGTTCTGCACTGCTGCTAGACTGCTTCTAATACCCTTGTTTGAAGACCACTGGAGAATTCGTCTTCTTTCTGCAACCTGCATGGTAAATATATCCAACATTAATCTTTTTAAACTATCTACTATCACTACTAAAAGTGGGCAGATGGATGACTTTTTGTTTCAGACTAGTCATAAAGATTTTGCCAAGGTCATAATTTGGAGTTCTTCAGGAACTCTTGTCAAAACCCTCATGTTTAGTGTCGACTGTTACTAGGCTCTGCAAAAAAAACCTGTTAGGTCCACAGGGACTCCATAGGCATTGATTGTGTAGAGACAAAACTGGAGCTAAGGACAATTCTTACCTACAATATAAAAAGAAAATCCATCCAAGGGCTGAGCGAGTAAGCCTTAAACATTTTCACCTCTTGTTAGATATTTTCTAGCAAACTTGACACTTCTTTTCTTTTCTCAACTACCATAATCATTTGAGCATGATATTTTTTTTCATTAGAGAATATTAGTCTAAGTAGAACAGACAATTTTTATGTCTATGTCTTTATTTTGTATAATGAGATTAAAATAAGAAATTACTACATGTTATTTCTACATTACAGTATTTCATGAAACATGCAGGTTTCAGGCAGGGATTTCCTTTTTAAATTGAACAATCAACTCATATAATTTTTAAATTTATTTAACACATATATAAAAAGAAAATAACTATTTTAAAACTATTTATATCATATGTAATATTTACCTCTATGAACTATTTAACAACTTGTAACTATACGCCTCTTATTTCATTATCATGAGCAGAATCCAACTTTCTTAATCATGCTAAAGGATGGTTTACATTTTTCATACAAAGCCAGTTTATGTCAATAGCACATAATATATTAACTTTAAATCATACGATCAAGGAATTATTTTATAATCTCTTTTTTCTTTAGAAGTTCTTAATTTTGAATTTGTATTTAAGCGGTTGTAAGGAATATTTCTGAGAACACTATGTTGTGAATAAAAATCGTGCTTTATGAAATGAGTCATATTTGATGTCTTATTTACAGTCTTACTTAGACTTCCTTTATAAATATATATATATGATCTCTTTTCCATTTCATAATGAAATTCAGTCGTCTCTTTCTGATCACTTAGATTATTCTTTACATCTTGGTCAATCATTCAAAGAGAAACATTTATAAAGTTGCCACAGAAAAGATTAACATCTCCATAACGATATTTTGTAAGAAAATCAGGTAATATTCTACTTATTTAAAAAAAATGAAAAACATGCAGCAAAGCAAGATAAGCATTGTAACATATTAGTAAATCCTACTTTTGCATAAATCTATAGTATCTTAGGAGCTTCCTAATGAAAAAAAAGGCAAACAACTTGTACCTAAACAGAATATCAAAGCTAAATAAATTCAGCAAGACAATGGGAAAATTAATTTCTTTTTCAAGTAGAGTTTTGGTTATTTTGATGTACTTAAAAAGACAAGAACTAAGTTTCATACACAAGAAGTTTGTTTATTTAAACAAGGTACAAATTTTTTGCCTGTCTTCTACTCAAGGCGCTACTATTATGTGGAAAATGCAAAAAATATATGTTAAGTAATGATTATGAATGATTTAAAGAGACATTAATCTTTATATAATAAACTCAAGCACAAAATTATTTCTTGCTTAAACAGTACACAAATTTTGTATGTGGGATGCATGGCCATCATAGCTATTGAAACCTGTATAAGTTTAATATTAGGCAGACAGCAAACAAAAACTATTTGTCTCTTTAAATTTTAATTTAATATTTTAACCCCCATGCAGAATTTTACAAGCTGCTCACAAGATGACATGAAAGTTGTTAATATGGTTTAAAGCAACACACTCAAAATATGGGAAAACGGACTACAATGTAACGTTTTCCTACTATGCATTTTCCATAACAAACAAAGAAAAACCCACAACTTTAGTTTCTGTCAGGCAGACGAAGTCTTTACCTGAACCCTAGGAACAAAAGGCGTTGTTCTTCTACTAAGGCTTTGGCTCTGGTAAGCAAAATTAAAGAAAAAGCAATAAAACAAAACCAAAAAGGACAACACGCTGGAAACTAAAAGACCAAAAGTAAAAACAAAGACACATGACTATTACTTTAAACATAGCTTTACACCAACAACATATTTATCTAACAAAAAGTATTTTAAGGCAATGCATAAATTAAATCTGCAAATCTCTTACCAAATCATATCAAAACCCTTTGATGGAAATTCTTGCCTTAGGGAAGTCAGCAGGAATTTTACCACTGATTCCCCAGGAGCAAGAATTTCTCTTTGCAAGTCTATAGACAACATTTACAATAGATTTAGAAATAACATGTAACAAAAAGAACAGGTAGGCAAAGTGTGATTTAAAAGTGGGGTTGGAAACATAAGTTAAGGTTGATAATCACTTTCAGGGAGATTGTACATGCAATATTCAGAGAGAAACAAGTACAATTCACACACTGACAGCTTTGGTTGCTTAGGAAAGTCAGTAAAAGAAAAGGTTTTCTCTTTTTTTTTGCTACTTTAAGACTCATGTCTATGAAAAGTGCTCCTAAATACTTTGAAAACAATTAAAAGTGCTCTCTGGTATTAACATTACACAGGGGAAGGTACAATCTATACACAAAACCTTGCATGAAATGGATTCTAGAGAGTTTAGCAGACTGCATATATAGATGCATTTATAACATATTTTTGTGCTGTAACACTTCAGACCATGTACAACCTTGTGGCCTCCAGTGGCTACATCAAGACTACATGGAGTACAGGCAACACAAATTCCTGGACTAGCTGCAAATTCCAAGCAACCACTCCCCACTTTCAGCTTAGGGCAACAGCTAATGGAGTGGCACAGAACTGGTACAGAGTGTGGGGCATGGGCAGGAAAAGGAGCATGTGCTGATACCTCAGAGGGCTGGTGAGTGGGAGAACAGGAGCATGGAGCAGGTCACAACAATCACAGCCATCTGACTGACTGGAATCTGCTTTGCCTCTGCTCAGTTTTCCTGAGATTATTGATCTAATTGAAAATGATAGAAAGAAACTACTACTCAATACTCACTTCTATCAGAAATGTACCCAAAGCATGGAAATAGGCACTGTGATGATGCTTCTGCCACCCTCTTTGATTATTTGGCATGCACAGATGCTGGAGAAATCTGTTCTATAAAATGTGTGAAGTAATCTGTTCTTACATCAAAGGAAGAGGATATATAAGAAAATTTGACAGTCTGGATCACGGGTTTTGTCTGATGTGTTCCCTGCTTTCTGCAAGGTGCAGCAGCTGCACTCTACCTGCCACTCTGCATGGGCAGGGCTGCAGAGCTCAGTGTTACGGCTGTCAGAATGTGACCTAGTCACAATAAAAGTAGATCTTCAGCTTGCTTCAGCTCCATTTTACAAGGGAAAATAAATTATCACAGGATATTGCAAACTTAAGAGGGACAGAATCTCTCCCACCATGCACCAAGGGTCCTCACCTGTCATATTCTGCCTTGGAAATGGAGGAAAATCAACACATTGTGTGCACTACCTAGAACTTTCCAGGTTTTGATGTTAGAGCAACAGCAATTTAATTGTATAGAGGTATAAAGGGGAGGAAGAAAAGGAAAAAGAACACGTGAAAAGGGAGGGGGAGCATGTGTTGTCCTTTATCTCATCCCCTCAATGTGCTGACATATAGGCCCTTCATAATGTACAATAAAGGCTTTCTATAATGCTGCATATATTACAACTATAATTAATATAACTTTATTGTTTTATAAACTGAATATGTATGGAAAATCTATTGAAGTGGTTCTGTGATTCAAGTGTACAGGGAAATAGATTAATTTTATAAATTACATCCATTTTCTGCTAGAACTTCCACCAGTACAAAAATTAAATACTATGCTTTTATACTTGTATCCATTTACATGATCTTATGTCATTGTTCCCTAAACCTAACTACTGGAAAAGCATTTCAAGTTATACTTTTCACGCAGTATCAAAAATGTAGCCAAAATTCAGCAGTTAAGAGCACCAACATACAAAGGATACTTTTGACTTTTGCAAAATTATCTTAAAGGAAAAACAACTCAGTGAAAAAATATAGAAACAAAAATGAGACAAAGCAAATAAAAAAAACCCTATAATTGCAATAACAGTCATATATTCTCCTGAAAAACAACATGATTAAAAAAATGCTATAAAATAAAACACAGATAATATGGATAAATTATATTAGTAAGTTATAACGCACTATAGTTTACTGTAGTTGCACATAATTTGTTCGATTAAATATGTACTTGGGCAGAATAATTATTAATGTAAAGAAGATTTCCTGTCTCTGTGAGATGGTTTACTTTGTGGTCAATCCTATTAGTCAGCTCTGGACTGACACTGTAACCTCCACAAAGAAAACACTTACACAGACCAATGCCAATACAGAGGAAAACATGGAAGTCTGAACAGACAGAGACATCCCTGAACAGAGTGGCATTGCTGCAGCTAAACCAGCCAAAACCATACTGAACATAAAGAAATGGATTCCAAAGTACTATTAATATATAAAAATCCTTTAAGGATCTAGAGCACTTTCTGAATAAGCCGATATTCAAGTTTGCTTTCAAATACTTCTGCCTTTCATCCAAACTGTTGCATCTCCATTTCTGCCTACAACTCTTGTATTTCACTGCCTATATTTCACAGTAACCACAGCTGCACTAACAGTAACCCTTCAGGAATACACGCTACTGTTCAAAGGCACAGAAAATACAGAAAACACTTTCAAAATCTTGCCTTTCATCTGTTCCCTCAGATCCATCACACCTGCTTGAATTCAGCCACCATCACCCAGAATGTCACTGACACAACACTTCCACAAAGAACAGCATCCTGTCCTCATTCCAGGGTTCTGTATTCTCCTGTCTAGGCACTCCCCATAAAGAGCACATTCACAATTACATTCAGAATTCAGTATTTCCTTTCATTTCTACCTTACTCAGCTATTTTGGATGAATATGTGATCCATCAACTGTTCTGTTAGAAAAGAGCTGATTAAGACATGGAAAACCAAAATACTGAAGCACATCCATTTTGTAGCATTCAAAATAAAATGGTTTTTGTAACTTGAGGAGATTTTTAAAATTCAGTTTTACCTTACTACTTCACCTTTTTAAAGGTCCAAAATTAGAAAATCTCATAGTCCATTCTAATTTTTCAAAACATGTCCAACTTTACAAACAGGATTTTTTCACTAACTCTTCTAAAGTTTCAAAACTTTTAAAAACTGTAGAATGATAAACCCAAATATTAAAAAGTGAAGCAAAACCAATTCATCATACTACCTTCAAGAACATAAACACCCAAGTCTGATGCCACAAAATTCCTAATTTTTCAAAACTATCTTAAAATATCCAATCAAAAAGAAACTCCATTGATTGTTTTGAAAACACTGCTCCTGTAGAATACTTCAATTCTTATAAAGTCTCTTATTTCTGAAAATGCAGATTAGCCTATACATTGCAATGTGCCCAGTTAGAGCCCATATTGCTTCCAGAGCATCTTCAGACACTATGACACCACCCTTGCTCACAAAGCAAAAAGTTTAGTACTTGCCTCCCAAAGTCCTGACCCAAGAGCAGCAGGAGCTGGGTTGTGCCCTTAACATGGTTAACATGAAATACAGCTATTGCCAATGTTTCATTAGCTGGGCAGACAAGACAAGCATCCAAACTTTCAAACCGTCTGCTAATCTTAAGTGTCTAAGTCGTGACTTTAGAGAGTTACAGAGTATTTCTGACTTCAGTTTCACTCAGCTGGAGCTTTGTGTTCTCAGATGGATATTATCTGCTCTCTGAGGGAAACACAGATAATATGTAGTAGGGAGTATTGAACATAATTGCAAACAGTACGTAAGGAAGTTGCAAAAAGAATAGAAAATATTTTCTAATGTCTCTTAACATTATTTGATTTCCTTAGATGGAAAGAAACTTTTTAGAATAAGCTTATATATTGAAATATTAAAAAAATAAATAAAAACAGGAATTATGCCTTCTTCAGTTAAACACTGAATTTTCTATGCCATTCTGAGAAATAAAATCTTTGGATTTCTGTTATTCTCAATAAATTAGAATATACCTCAAAATTTCCCAATCCTATGATTATATACCTCAAACTTCAGTATTCTATCAAACCACTAAAGTAAAAGACATACTGACTTCACTAAAAAATCATAATCTTAAACTCATGATGATTTTGATCTGAAACTGAGAAAGTGAAAAAGTCGGTTCTGTTGGTTCCTCTCTGGACAATTATTCCATAGTTATGTGCACTGAGCAGCAAACTCTGGCCCTTGAATTTCCTGCTAGGAGCTAGGCACCACAATTTTTTGACAGCCTAATCTTTTATGAAGTTTAGACAAAAGAAACTCCTTTCTTGCCTGTCTCCCCCATCAACAATTTTTACTGTCTTGTAAAAATTGAGAGTTTTTAGAAACTTTGGTCTGTGTATTTTGACCGTTCATGTTTCCCTGTCATTGTATTTTTGCAAAACACTCTGCATTCTAGTCAAGATTTTTAGTTTTCCATTTATCCAAATGATTGAATCTTTCAAAGTAATTAAGTACAACAACTACAGAAAATAAAAAATTATATATTGCAAATGGTTGTTCTGATGAGCAAACAATGTCTCATGCACTGCAAAATGGAGCAAACATGGCCACTGAAGAGACAAAAATATTCTCCATCTCCTCTCTCAATATCATAAACCATTTCTGTGAGACCTAGAAACAGTCTGCTTGGATTTTATGCATATGTTTATGGTACACTCAACATATACAACTTGGAAGTAACGTGAATGTGTCATTTCCAAACTTGTTTAACACCAGTTTTGCACTGTTTCCATTCCATTTGCCTTTCCTTTTCAATATGGCGGGCCACAACTGAGCACTTTTGAAAAATCACACTTTGGAATTGTAAATAACATGGAAAAGTGCACAAAACCCAACTTCTTCAGTTTATTACCAAAAAAGTACCCTTTAAAAGAAAACATTCACATTATGAACTTTCTTCTCAGAGTGAAGAACAAAACTGAGTAACACCAGTACAAAGAGTACAAAATGAGTAAAATATTAGAGGGATACCTGGGGAACTTATATATGAAAGTTAGTGCATAGGAAATAAGCAGTCATAACATCCAAGCACCCAGCTAATAAAATCTACCAACTCTACATGTAAGTGTGACATTTGAAAAAATGTTTACACTCAACAACACAAACATAACTGGAGGCCAAGATAAGACCTTTCTGAAAATTGGACTCTACCAGTCCAGCTTACCAGATAAATATACATGTCTATACCAAAGTCAACTCATATTAAATTTCCAAAAGCTAATAAAATGGAATATGATTATGAAATTCTGTTCTTACCTAGACTGAGATGCATAGCATTAAACAAAAAACATAGCTAGTTTAATAAGAAATTTCTGCTACAGGTAGCTAGCATTACAGTAAGAGCTGTATATGCCGCAAAAAGCACAACATTAATATCAATGAAATGTTTACATACTGAAAGTTGTCCAGACAAGAACTGTGGAACATCCCTTAACATGCCAGGACTCATAGGAGAAGTCACTGAAATAGAAGGTCGGTCCATTTTTTGAGATTCAAATGAACTAGAACCTGTAATTATAAACAAAAATATTTTATAAATAGTAGCAGTTATCCATGTATTTCAACATTCTTGAACAGAAATTGTAGAAGTATAACCAAACATGCAGTAAAGTTGTGATAAATATTACTTTATAAAATCTATTTAAAATTACCAAATAATGATACTCAGTCTTTTGGTGATCAGATGCAATCAGGAGCTTTTATTTATAGAATGGAAAATAAATTATTCAGATATTTCTGACTGTAATTGTGAGTAAGTTGAAGTCCCAAAAATAAACACTTTACTATGGTCAAATGAATTAAGCCTTCTGACTTATTATCTTGTACAATCAGACTAATTTTTAATTCGATTTTTACAAAAATATCAAGATGGGTTTTGTGCATTTTGTTTTGTGCATTTTGTACATTATGTTTTTTGTGCATTTTTTTTCAAATCTACAAGGTCTGAAAATGGGCAGAGAAGAAGTTTTGACATACAAAACATAGAGGAAAAGTGAAGTATTTTTATAAATACAAAGGACAATCCACATCTCACAAAACATAAAATTAATTTTAAGAATTGGGCAATAAGTAAAAAAGTCATTGAAGGAGCTTTTCATATGATTATAATCAAGCTTATGCCATTTAATTTATTCATGGCTTCTATTATAATAGCATTCTAAAAAAAATGATAAAAAAATAACTCCAGGCTGAAATCCATCTTATCAGATCTAAGCCAAAGAACAAGTTATTCTTGCCTACATGAAATATGGGTTTAGTCAGTTTAAGTAGCCCTGAATGGCTCTAATAAAGTAAGGGTATTCTGAGTTTAAAGTAGCTATCACTCAGGCTGTAAACAATAAACATTTCTTTCCCACTTTTAGTTTATAAGATGCAATTGAAATGCAAAGCAAGAGAACAGGAAATTAAAAATTGCTATTAATGTTCTTATATATTAGTTAGAATTATACTTTCTTCAATCAAAACTCATCTAAGCTTATAACCAATGTCAAACCTAAGTTACAATATCTTGAGTTTTGATAGCTTATTATTAAACAAAGGTAGATAGATAATACAGTAAGATGACATATTGAGACAAATTTAGACAAAAAGACAAGACCTATACTGACTGCAGAGGACATTTTTCATTCTATTTGTGCTTACATAAAAGAGAGAGAAGATTTTCCTACCCCACAATTGAAACTTACTGGACTCCAGCTGTGCATGTGTGCTGTCAGGTATTCTGGGAATGTCCCTGAAATCAGGAAAATTAAGACAGGCTGATCCTTTATCTAACAAGCAAATTTAAATTTCAGTTACACTATAACACTTCCCAATCCACCATGGAATGCCTCAGGAAAGGTGCATGATCTGCTGGCTCTCTTCAGCCACTGGGATGATTATCTATTATCCAGTATAAATACTTTCAGTGTCAAATTAAATCCTACAGAGCAGATTTGGTGGATGCAGGAAACAGGCTGCACAATCACAAAAAAAAAATTCAGCAAATAAAAGAACAATCTCAGAATTAATGGTAGACTAAAACTGTGATCAGTAGAATTTACAATAACGTTATACATTAATTAAATTCACTGGACCCTCACTCAAACATACTCGGCTACCAATCATGGCTATCCAAGTATATCCTTTACTGTCCTTGAACCACAAATTTAATCAATCTTACCTTTTCCATAACCAAATAAAAAGTATAAATTCATTTGGCAAAATTGCATTCTTTCATATACAAGACATGTTGCAACACCTGCATTAAACTGTGTGCAAATCTATGTAATTTTAAAGCACTCAATCACAACGTCCTAGCAAAGGAATATATTTTTTCCTCTGAGAGGCAAACATTACTGTATGCTAATAAAAACTATGAATATGCTAATAAACAATTTCAGAGCTATTTGAGAAAACCAAGCAAGATGAAGAGCTTCAGTTCTGAGTCACAGCAATACCAATATTTCCAATCCTTGTGTGTTTCAGTGCCTTGGTTTCTCCAAGGCCACAGCCACTCGTGCAGGGTGGCCATGGGGACGAGAGGCTGGGGCTGCACCATGCTGGGCCCAGCTGGCTCCTGGGCTGCTTCTGTGATAACACATTTAATAAAGGATAAAACAGCTGTGCAGCAGCTGTGAGAGAAAACAATGAGGAAAAGAAGCCGTGAGAGAAGTGTCATTGCAGACACCAAGGTCAGGGAAGAAGGGGGAGGAAGAGGATGAGCTTCCACTCCCTTTCCCACTTGGTGGAGAGGGAGGCAAAAAAAAACAGGAAAAAATGGGTGAATTTGAGCCAGGGAATGAGAGAGGTAAGGTTAAGGAGGTGTCAGTTTTGGTTTTGTTTCTCACTATCCTTTGCTTTTATTAATTCCTAAGAAATTAATCTTCCTAAAGTTTGTTTTGCCCATGATGGTAACTGCTAAGTGGCCTATAAGATTTTTCATCTTATTTTCTCCTCTAGTCCTGCTGAGGAGGGAAATGGAGAGAGCAAGTCCTTGGTGCTTAGTCAAGGTCAACAAAGGTAAAGGAAAAGGAAAGGGAAATTAAAAATGTTCCAATGATATCTACTGTCTCATACAATGAAAGAGTCAATATGATATATAAATAACTTATCTATTTCTTTTAGAAAAGCTTTTCCAGAATACCTTTAGAATATCTTTTCCAAATATTTTTCAAGACTCACTAGAAAGACAGCTTTGCTAAGTAGACTGAAGAATCTTTCCAAGTGAGTTGATGCACAGTATCCAATAACTGAAATAAACCTGAAGGCATGAAACTGCTCTAAGTGCCCACTACAGTCAAGAAAAAAAACTCTGTTGTTAGTACTCAAAACTTGTGAGAAACTCACAAGCACTACTGAAGAAGCAAATATTTAAGTTTGTATATTTGATATAAGGCGAGTTTATAACAGGAACCAATAGTCGCCTAGTAATTGACTCAGAAATACAGTCTTGAGCTTAACGCATAAATACAAAAAATTTCTTCAACTATATGAGTCTGAAAAGAAAACCTTGAAAAAAACCAAATATATATATATATGTATATATATAATACATAAATCATTCTGAACAGACTAAGAGTTTTCTATAGATAGCTGAAAAAATACACTTGAGATCTTTGAACATTATCATTTATGCTCCTAAAGCATACAGATCCCTGTATTTCATGGCAGCATAAGTGATATTTCTTACAAGGAAGTCTCATAGAGATAAACAGATGGAGGAGAAATAAAATTAGTTTCACAATGATTCTTTGCATAATAAGTTATGCTCCACTGCAAACAGGTTGGATAGAGTAATTATTAAAACACAGTGCTCTATTTCTTCCAAATTCAAAACTGAAGAAACCATGAAAATATACATGCATATAAAGTTATCTATTTCTGAGAATTAGAAAGCACAAAATAGGTAAGTTTCTGTATAGAAGGGACAGCCAGCTCACACTGATTAGCAACTTGGCCATCAATTTTTATTTTAAGATGGAAAAAGTGGTAAATTGCATGACAAACTGGCATGTTTTGTTGGGATTTTTTTAGAATGGCTTTCAATTTTATCTGCCTTGTCAGCTTAGCTTGTCATCTTTAGTTTTCATAGCACTCAGCCCATAATAAAGAGAAAAATTAATAATTGTGTTTACTGGAATTTGGTTTTGTTCTCAGCATATCAGGATGTGACAACAGATTCTCAGCTAAGTTAATTGCTTGTATCTGAAGATTTCTTGCGTGATTTAAAGTTGCCATGAAACCATCAAGAAATTCTCCTTAAAAATAATAAGATTTACCTCAAAGCAAAAGCAAAATCCTTCAACTGGGCATCAATAATTCTCATAAAAATAAATATCACTTCTGATATCTGGTAAATAAAAACTTTTAAATACTGTACATACACTGAAACTTTATTTTCCAGAGCAGAAAACAATCTTATGAAGTTATGGTTCCCTGGAGAAGCACAGGCTATTAATTTTAATTGTGCATTTGATTATGAACTGTAATCTTCTAAACTGAAAAAAGTAATATGGTCTTTCCAATTCATCAGCTCTTACCTCTTGAAAAACATTTCTGACATTATGCTGTTAATATCAAACTCCAGAGAGTTGCACACACCTATCCAGAATCGAAACCGACCAATCTGTAGGAAGCATTCATCACTGAGACTCTTTTACATCTACTGCAAAATGACACTGGGAATCAAACACACTGAACAACTCTTTTATCACTGATCTAGCTCCGTTCTTCAGACTATGAGGCAAGCAGTTAATGCAAAAAAAGGCATCTTGAGAGCCCACATCACTGTTTAGGGAATTATAGATGAGCTGCTCGAGTGACACCCACATAGTAGAAGACATGATGATAAGGAAGCTGAACAAGAGACAGCAAATATAAAAGCACAAGAAATAATACAGGAGATTTTACACAATGAAGAGAACGCAGAGTGATTTTTAAAAATAAGTATTTTCAAAATGTGAGTTGCTCCTTGGAACTTTTGCTAAAAACCTCTATTTGAGAGATATTATGAAAGATTCATGTATAAAATTGAGACCTCCTTTACTAAGACAAGTAATGTAGTCTGTCCCTTAGCATTACTATTATACCCACACTTCCCCAAGTTATGCAAAGCTTTTTAATGATAGGACAGATAATACAGTCTTTACCCTAAAGGGGTTAAAATTCCATAGTATGCAGGGGATAACCGCTCATCTCACTGACAAGATAAAGCTATTTTTTTGTTATTATCAGGTTTGTTTAAAATTGTCATACCAAATTAAGTTGCTACACCTTAAGTTCCTGATGTGTCCAACGCAATAAGTTTCTATTGTGGCTGAAACCTTAACAGTCGGCCTCACTGAAATGCTGTTCTCCGATTATATAGTTCAATATTTTTTTAGTACTTCTTAACTTTTAGTCAAGTTTTCTTATATTAAGGTGCAAAATAAAGGGTTAAACGTATATATTAAAATTATTATATGTATTTATTAGTTCTAGAATCCTAAAATGGTCCAGGATGGAAGTGATCTTGAAAGATAATCTGGTCCAACCTAACATGGAAAAGGGAATCTAGATATTACATATCACCCTGTCCAGTTGTGTCCTATATATCACAATAAATTCTGAGGGAAAAAAAAGAAAATTTTAATAACTGTAAATGTCTTCAAAATCACTGATAATCATTTGCCTTTTCACAACCCTGATGTGACCAGTTATGGAACTTCCAATGGAGAATTAAAAACTTGATGTATATGGCTTTAGGATGTAGGAACTTGGAAGAAAAAGAACAGTTGAAAAAGAGGAAGTACTCACAGTCCAATACAACAAAGCAACTACTGCTATGCAAGAAAAAATTAAATTTAGACATTAAGAGGTAGATTTGAAGGTTAATAAAAATGAGCAATATACAGCACTAAAGAAAATCGCACAGAGTTCTAACTATTCATTCAGACGTGTTCTGTATTAGATAACAAGCAATAATTTAGTAGTTCCATCCATGAAAATTATGTGAATGTGCATTTGAGACTTTCCAAAGCATACTGATTTTTTTCATTAGCATACTATATTTCACACAAAATTCTACACTGCAGACTCTCAACAAATAGAGTTCATCATCAGTTCATAGATCAAATATGATCTCATAATTTTATGTATGTATTATAAAAGATGGGAATGGAGAATTAAAAATCAACCGTCAAGAATTACGAGTATAACCACAGTTTCAGAGCCAATATAGGCTGGCTCACCAACCGAAAATCCAGAGAAGGGATCCTATTTTTAACCATAATAGCAGATGATGCTTGAGACTCTGAGAATACAGGATTTCACACCAGCTCTTTTTACTCACTGACATGATCTATCATTCCAGCTACATTTTGGTTTACAGAAATTTGCATAAAATTTTTCTGTTTACAATGTTAATGAATGTTTGATATACTCCATCCTAAAAGTGAAAAATTTTATCATAGTTAATTAATAAGTACATGAAATTACTTACCCTATTGGTCTTGAAACTACAAGCTCTACTTGTGGCTCAGGTTTGGATTCTAAAATGATGTTATACACCTCCTCAAAGGTGGCTCCTTGGAGTATCCTTCCATTCCATTCTAATACTTCATCACCTGTAAGTCAAGTAATAACACCCTGCTTAGTAAGTCTGCTGTGGACAGCACTTACAATAACAATTTAAGCCATTCTACTCAGTTTTTTGGATTGTGAAACCTGTGTTTGGAGGCCTTCATGCAGGAAAATCCTGAGTATTAAAGGTTTTCTGCAGCTCAGCTTCAAATATGTAAAGTTCTGTGAAACAATAATAGAATCAGTAGGACCCCTATTGAATTAGATGCTGCTCCTGTTGCTTTGGCAGCTGTGGCTTACAGAAATTCCAACATGTTCTTTAGAAAATTCTTATCTAAAGCATAATATCTCATCAACTTACTGTTTTGAAGATCCATGTACTTTTACAAGTTTAGTATTTAAGGTTCAGGTAGCTCTTATGTTAATAGTTAATATTTCTTGAACATTCTCCAATCTAGCAATCTATGGTTTGCATGTTGGAACAGAAGCAGCTTCCTAGCCAAGGTGGTTCTGCTCACACAGAATACAGTAATAGTTTGGTTTGCTCTAAACAAGATATAGATCACATAATGACTGGGGAAGACATCAATGGAATATTATTTTGAGTATAAAAATGAGCAAAAATATTACAATATTTTTTGAACAACATGAGAATATATATTTCGCAAAAGCAACCATCTAGTAACAGTGTCAGGTTGAATTCTGCCCTATTTCATCATATCTATTTAATATAATTTCACATGTAATTAAACTTGCTCACTTTTTATCACCTTCAGAAAAGCAACTCAGCAGTATAGATCTATAGTAGTTACATACCTGGTCTAAGATGCCCCACTGTATCAGCTAAGCTTCCTTTTTTAACTTTGGTGATAAACGCGCAGAGTCGACCTGATTCAGTCATCTTTCCTCCTACTACCTGTTTCAAATAGGAAGTATTTTCGCAGTATGAAAATTACTTTAAATTACTTAAATGTTTGGGCAATAGAAAGAAGAATTCATCTTTTTCCTTGGGTATTATGTAGTCCAGGTAACACATATACACTTGAAAAAAAAATCACAGAAATTTGGCTATGACGTTATTTTTGTATCTATTCTGGCAATTTGTACATTGTACAATAGAAAAGCAATGGAAATAGAGAATCCTAAAGCTTTTAAATTTTAGCAAATACATGTATAGTATCTCATTGTATTATAAATGACCACCCTAAACAATCTGAGGTATTAGTCATAAGATTGCTCACTTCACTATTCTTTTAACTGGAAAAAGGTATATTAATATAACAGAACTCAGGATGTTCACAATAAGCAATGAAATTCCCTTTGGCTTGGCAAGTCAGATAAAAACATTTGTCACACTGAAAATACTCTACAGGGAACTTCAACAGGTTTGACCTTAATATTTATGTTAGAATCAGACTTACATGTCAGAATCGGTCAAAGCTGAAAAATCTTCAAATTCTTAAGGTTTCTTAACCAACTCCATACACTGGGATTTAAAATTTGTAATACTAAATCCAGTTTAGTTTATTTTCAATATATAAATTGAAAATTCAGGTCAGGGATAACTATTGGAAATCACTCTTTCTAGCTGTCTATTGAGATTAAAAAGTAGTTACTCTTGAATCTGAATCTCACTGAAGAGTTCATCTTCATAATACAAGATTTCAGAAATTTTAACATAGATGTTTATACAAAAAGTGCTTCCTACTGGCCATGTTAATCTTTTCTCTTGCATTTTCTGACAATAAGACAAAAATAAACATATAAAACTTGATATTCAACTGTCTTCTCCACTGACTTCAAATAAATTTATTAATTAAATAAAGATTTTAAATATTTCCAAAACATATTAGTATATGTAATCCATAATAACACTGATTTAATCCTTATTCATAGGGTGTGACTATAACCTAATCTGTATACCTGAGGTAAGACTCATGCTAAATACAGCAAGCATGTGGAATCAAAATAAATACGTTTGTTTCTTTCACTGTTCATAGTTTCTTCTAATTCTTGTACTAGTATTTCTAGAACTGCAAATAATAATATCACACAAAACTGAGATCAATATATGAGCTAGAAATAATTCATAATGTGTTTAAAGAGCACTGCATCATGAAAAAGAGGTTAACACATAAGAGTATATTCTTTTGTGATAAAAACCAATAATATTAAACAATTTTCCACTTAGTGTTTTTAAAATGTGGCAAATCAAACAATCAGAGTAGATAAAATTCCAAAAGAGAAAGTTCCATTGGCATACTCTGATCTGGATTGAAATGTCATTAACTCATAGATGTCCCCCAGGTCTTCAAGAGAGAGAATTTATTTTTTATTTTCTTCTCTTTCTTGGGAAATAGAAGTTATATCATGGGGCAATGCTCCATACTGAAGAACACAGACAGGACTTAGCTTACCTAGCAAGGGTGCAATTACTGCTTTGTTAAGAAGACATCCTCAGTAAACTTGTGAAAACATGTCTAGTCTTTCAGAAAAATACAATTTTTAAATTCCGCCAAGGACTCTGCAAAACTACTCTAGGTGACTGAATATAAAATGTCTATATTGTAGTTTTGAGAGTCATAAGACATTATCAATATTGGTAGGCATACACTATCTAATATGAGACTACTTTAATTAGGAAAGTAGCTAGTTTAACGGAGAAAGTTGTTAGTTTCAAAATTGTTCATCACCAACCTTCAATCCAAGCATTGCTCCTGAATCTCTAGGCACACTTCCATCTTTTAGTCGTTTATTTAACAAAATCCGACCAATGAGACGATCTCCATCTTTGGATGGTTGCCAAGTTACTGGATGCTATCATATGGTGTTAATGGAAAATACAGTGAGTAGTATTTTAATGAAAAATATTTTAGTAATACTTTTCATTTGCTGATATATTTTTAAAATGCTATGAAAGTATTATGATTACACTAATATTTAATGTAAAAAAATGACAGAAAACTGTGCTGGAAAATATTTGGACAAAGCATTCATCAAAATGGATGTCTAATAACGTTATCTATTTTACTAAATCAAATTTGTAAATATCTAAAATGATCTTTCAATCTTGATTTGACAGATATAGACAACTACACATAGTTATCTACACACAATGAGCATCACATCTGACTACTGAGAAAAACATAGCTAAAAGTCGAGTACAATAGTAATATCAGAAAAGAAGTTTAACTCAAACTGAAAGTTTGATGTAAGAAATGTCTTATTTTTCCACTACTTCAAACATTTCAATTTTTATCCAAGAGCAACAAATATTTTTAGTGTTTTACTTTTTCTCAGTAGTAGCAGATTAAAATTTAAAAATACAATTAAAAGGCATATTCATTACTTCATTTTAATATTCTGTTTCTTTCTTGGAATAATTAGCTGACATATGAAGCACAGTTACAGAGAGCATTATTATTCCCTTACTATACATGGGCACAGTTATACTTGTCTATTGGCCTAATTAATGAACTGTTAAGATTGTCTTTTGTGTAATCATAGTACTTTTTCACAGAAAAATATTATTTCATGCTCTATTTCATGCAAAATTAGCAGGCACAGATAAATCTGCTCCCATTATAACTAATAACTCTAAAAAGATTTATCATAATCTCCACCAAACAGAAAGCAAAAATAAAAAATACCAAAGCAGATGGCAAAGCCTTTAATTCTGCACAGTACTGCACAAAAATTGCATGGCAACAAAACAAATGAACAACCATGACAGTGAAAGGGAAAAAAGAAAAACAACTTTTCTGTGCAGAGAGACCCAATTTTCTCCCTTTTTCACCTGGGGTTTAAACTATTAATTTAATTTCAGCCCCAGGAGTTTGGAAATAGTAAATCAGATAAGCCAATTGGTAGAATCCTTATTGTTAATTACTTTATTCTTTAAGGTAATATCATGATATGCTAATTAGCAACCATAAGAACAACATTCCTTTATGCCTCTCAATTTTTTTTCTTAGGCTGCCAAACAGTAAAAGCTGCAAGCATGCAAAGACTTTTCATTTGTTTTTCTTTTCTGCACCTTAAGAAATGCTATATTGTCTCTAGAAACACCCTATCTTTTATTTTATGCACTATTTTAATGAGTGACAGAGAGCAAACAAAGACCAAATGAGCAGGTTAAAATGCAGGCTCCATAATCTCAGTACCTTCTCACTATGGCTATGTTCCTCGTTTAGAGTTGTGCTACTACACGTATCTACCCCAGAGTCTTTTATCTGAGGCTCAGACCATTCCAAGTCCTCTTCCAAAGAGTGGCCACCAAAGCACACCATTTTCTTTTGCCTCTCGGATAAGGTGTTAGAATCCGACAGAACTGCCTGCTCACTAGTTTTTCTTTTTCCCCTTTGACTGTCCCCTATAGGTGTGGGATAAAAAAAGGATACAAAAAAGAAAACATGCAAAGGTGTAAATAAAACCAAGGAAATGTAAAATGACAAAGGAAACTAAATGGTAAGGCTCCACATGTCTCACCAAAGACATTGGGGATGCCTCACTGCTATGCCAAGACGTATGGTCCAACCAGTTGTAATCCATGTCTCCTGTGAGAATCAGACAGACAAGATAGTGCAGTAAAGGAAAGGTGAAAGAAAGGACAAACAAAGATACAGTAAAATTGTAAGACTTCTGATTATCCTATCTGATTCATAACCTCTGGCAGCAGGACTTGCAAGGGCTTCCAAGAAAAGGTTCAGGCTCCAACAACAGAGTACATGGAATATGAAAAATAGTGAGGAAGGAGATATATTTGTGTGTGCCTATGAGTGCATAAAGTTATGTACAGTGCAAAGCATCATTGTGCCAGATTTATTAACTGTCCCTGTAAAATTATTTACAGTAAATTAAATGAAAAGGCAAATTGTATTTCTAACAGAATATCCAGAAGGGAAAATGTTTGAATACAGAATGTATTAAGGAACTTATTTCTTTGCTTTTCTAACACAAATTAGTATTTATTCTAATCACATCAATAAAATACTTAAAACAAAGGCACTCTGTATTCATTTTGCAGTAGATGATGTTTTAAGGAACGTTAAATGAAAAAAAATATAGAAACTATGTTAGGGTAAAAAGCATATTAACTTTGCTTTGTCTACCTGTTAAATATTAGGATGAATTCTAGTGAGTACAGGTACCCCACAAATGGGAGTGTTTAGGGTACTGACAGAGCATATAAATATTTCAAAGTCAGAATTTAACCTCCATGGCAGACACAGGGTAGAAAGTAAGGTTTGAAAAACAGTTTAAGAAGAGATCTAAATTACTGTTGCTGTCCAAAGAATTAGAGAATGACTCATGCATTTTAATAAAACATTCCCTTTAATGTAGGTACTTTAAACTCTAAATTATACCCACACATTCTGCACTATTATGTTTCTCTCTTTTTTCTTTCCCTCACAATTGTTACTTCATGTTACATGAAAAATATTTTGTTACTGCATGCTACATAATATTTTTATATTACTGTATGCAGGAAACAAATGTTTAGTTTTCTATCAAATTTGACCAAACTAAAGCAAAATAGTTCAGGGTTTTTTAATAGAGACCTCAAAAAAACATTTTTCTATTTCTGTTACTTCATATTCTGCTTCAACATTGCTCAGCCTATTCCTCTGGAACTACATCAGTGGGGTGGTGAAATGTAGATAACAAGTCTTAGCACTGTCTTAACACTTGTCTAGAAAACTTTACAGAGAAGATGTGAAGATACAGTCCCATAAAACTACAAAAAATAATAAAGGCTTTAGTAAAGTAAAATATTCTCCTTGGAGAGGTATCACAGAATTAACTAGATTGGAAAGGGCCTTTGAGAACATCAAGTCCTACCTAGTATATCTTGTATGTACAATGAGAAATACCATTTTTTTCACTTGTTTCCTCCTAAAATAGAGATTTGCATATGCTGTATGGGAAAAAAAATCAAGTCTCGTTTTCATTTTAAAGAAGGTAATATTCAAAATACAAAGGCTTTGTTTTCAGAAAGATAATTTGAACTTAGTCCCTCACACATTGCAGAAATATTGTAGCACATTAAATCACCTTTTCTTTCATAAAAGCAATGATAAAATATCTTCATAAAATTGTTTTCAGGCCTGAATTCATTCATATTTCCTAAATAATAAATAAGTTGTAAATCTATTAACTATGTTTCTTGACTCTTGAAAGGAAGATAACATCAAAAAATGGGAAATTCTTACCGAAACTGCTCTGCCATGAATGTTAACATCTTGCCTGTATTACAGATAAAAGTGTGCTATCCTGCTAAAGGGGAAAGGAATACTCTTTTGAAAGCTAGTAACATTTTGCTAAAGGTACTTCTGCAATGGAATTTCCAGTGTAACTTTTGCCTCCAGATACTGCTTCAAGGGGTACCAAGTGAAATCATCAGTGAGCTCATGAAGATCTAACTCTTATTCATAAATATACATTCAGAGATATCTAGAAGACAGCAAGAGTTGCCTGTTTTACAAATTCCCTGGGGCCTTTAAGCATTGGTCCCAGACTCATCTGCTGGTGTAGCTGGTTTCTGCTTACTCCAAGTCCTCTTGCCCATATATTACTGTATGGTGCATCCACAAACCATATGTGTCCAAGATGAGGTTCAGGTATTTTGCAAAAATAGTTACTCTTCAACAAATCATAAGCCCTGGAACTGAACTAAGTTCCTGCATTAAGGAACATTTGCAAAATTGAGCCTGTTACCTTATAAAACAATCCCTCTTCTTGCTCAACCATTTTCCTTTCTCCTTTTCAAACAAAATGTAGAAGGCTGACTTTCTTTTTAGTTTAGTTGTGTCTCTCAGTAAATAATTGGCATGTATAAAAGGAAAGTTAAATTAAAATAAACAACAAGTCCACCCAAACATTGTTTTATCTGTGTAAAATATGTAGTTATATGCTTCCAAAAATTATCATATAAATTAGAATTGTAAAGCCATTGTAGATCTTTTAGATTTTTCCCTTAATATGTCGTTAAGTGATCTAAATGACAGGTTTAAATACTATGCAAGTTAATAAAAGGATGGTTGTCTGGAAGCCCTGTAGTGTATTACATTTCTATGACAGATATGTATGGCTTAGTATACCTACAACTTTTTGAAATACAATTAATGGTTTGATAAAGTCACTGGACATAAATTTTTCAATGAGAGTTCTATAAATATTAAAATCTTGACTAGGTAAATGATTTTTGAAATCTTGCAAAATTAAAAGTAATATATGTAAAGCACATAGGTCTTTGCCTACAAGAAAAAGAATTAGAAGTAAATAAAACAAAAAAAAGGTAAAGAAATAAAAGTTAAACCATGATCTTTTGTAACAAAAACACCATAGTTGTAACTCTGAGTACCAGAGAATGCACTTGCTGCTGTCTTAGAAATGTCTCTTCCACTATAGAAAACACTTTATTGAGAATATATACATTTAGGGCATGCAGCAGAAATTATTCAGGAAAAGAATGTCACCTCATTGATAAATTACAGGAGGTATAACATTAAGACCATCATTCATGAAAAAAGGACCTAATATATTACTGAGAAAGATACAATCCTAGTTTACACCATTATAACAATATTCAGATGCCTTGTGAGTTCAGGAGTGCAGCTGGGTATAGGAAAGGACATGTGTGAGATCTGCTCTTATTAATGTCAGTGAGTTCTGTGTGTGTATGGAAAGCTCCCATGGACAAATCAGGTTGGGAGAACAACCACATCAGTAACCCAGCCTTTCTGCAGAAACCAGGTTAAGCTGAAGCCTTTGTAGCTTCACTGGTATTCAGTGTGTTTTTCTTATTTTATCTAGACAAAACCAAACAGACAGAAGATTTTTTTCTTCTACATTGGTAACCTCCAGCAATGGGACCTTCCTGTAGCAGCGGGAACTTTGAATGTCAGACTATATTTTAAAAGAATTTTTGTTTCTGTTTCCCTTATATTTTAATGTTTGATTATGTAGTTCTTTGTTTCCTATAATGGCTTTCCCACACAGAAATATGATAATTGAGTATCCTTTAAAAAGCATTAAGGATGCTTTATATCTAACATACAAGGTGCATGTCTACTCTTTTTTGAATATTGTTTCATTTCATGGTCAAGCCCAAAACCATTTATCTTCCAAACAGGCTAGACACAAAGTGTAATTGGCTGTTCTACTCATACAGAGTTATTTGGATGCTCTAAGTGCCCCAAAATCTTCTCACAGGATATAAGGATAACCCAGGCCCTTTCTACCTAAAGCAAGACCTCTCTAAACTGTCAACTGTTTCCCTTAGTAAACTAAAAATATAATCTTGCTTTGAACCAAATAAACTAAAAACTTGTCCTCAGATTCAAATCTCACTGCCAAAAAGGACAGGTCATATAACTTTAAATTCTTCAGGCTGAGACTACCTGACTACACAGTGTATACTGAACACATACTTCTGACTACTTGAGCCAATAAAGGTACATATATGTCATTACTCAAAACTGCAAACTATGTAACCTTGTAATTAAGTATTTTCCCCCTCCAAGCTAATTTTCAGCATAAGGGTACTGTGAGCTGAACACATCCTGTGTGTCTGTATCCTTCTCCTAACTGCACAGCTCCCAGGGCAGCCCTGTACCAGACGGGTTGTGGAGTGAAGTAAAAAGTGAAGTACAGCTATTGAAAACTTCCATTTAAGCAGGTTACTTTTTGTTTGCAGTACTATCCATCTAGACTGCCACACAGTGGGTGACTCCAAAGAGGAGCTACACAGCTAGAATTGCCTGGAGGTGATTATATGAGTACTTAAACAATTGCTTTGTCAGCTCTGGACATTTCAGGGACATTCTAGCTTTTGGTTCAGGAACAAACATAAAGCTGCCTATCACAAAGCCGACTAAAGCACAGAAATATTTTCCAACACAGTCACTGATGAAGTTTGAGCACTGATTACAAAAAGAAGCACCTTCTTGCCAGGCTTACAGCAGGCTTTGAAAATTCCTACCACGCACTTCAATTTTTCTTGTTGGGAAATAATTATTCCTCTGGATTTGTCAACTTTCAACATGAAACAGATTCGGAAAATGTCTGAAAGATCTGGTCCTACCAAAGCAAAAAAAGAGAAGCAGCTCTTTATGAAAAGGATATGAAGTATATTTCGACTTTTAATTTGTGAAATACAGAGAAATGGAACAATTAGGATAAAAATGTATAAAATTCCATTAGTGAATAACAGAGTGCTGAATTCCACAAGGCAGGTGAGAGAAAAGACTGGGGGAGGTGGGAGCAGGTAACTGCAAACGCATATGGAAAAAATAATGACATTGACAGCGTACAAGCACTGAACAGAGATGCTGCTACCAAAGAAATATCTCTGGACCCCATGGGCTGGTCACTGAGAACTTAGAAATACCTTGAAATTTCTTTGCAATTTCTTTGGGGTTTTTTTCAGGGATACTGTTCAGGGGAAAAATCTTACTAAAAGAAGACCCTGGTTTACCCTCGAAAACTGTGTAGCCTTGCTTTCAACTTCTACAAGAACTGCTTAACAGGAAAGATAATACTTTTAATGTAAAGG